ATTGCCTTTAAAAAGCACGAATGATACGTTTGAAAAGTAAAAATGTAACTTGGACGGGCACTTGAAAGAATAAATATGTATACGCATATAAGCTACAGAACAATTACAACAAGGTGTTCCAGTTAGAGTTTCCGTCACTCCTTTCACGAGTATACATAAGAAGCCACATGATCCGGATCGGGCGAGAGAAATGATAACAATCACGTATTGGTACGGTAACGGCACGATATGCCGATCTGCGCTCCCAGAACAGTTGTTTGTCTTCCACGTGTGTATGTGTAGGTATGTAAAAGGACGGTTATCAAAAACCATCACTCGAAATGTCGAGCCGAGCCATCGGATCCTTATCCTCTCGGATAAATAACTCGAGCCGTAAAATAAATAACGCACGGCGTGTCTGCGCGATGTCTACCTGTTTAAATTGAAGAAGAAAAAAAAGGATCACTGCCTCGGGCTGTTTATACGTATATAATGGTAATGTGCACGTAGGCACGAAGATTTTTTTTGTTTTTTTTTTTGTTTCACCGTTAAACGACCTCAACCAAAACACACTTGATAATTTATCGATCGGCATTCATAAATTTCTGTAATTATGAACAGGTATATGGTATAACGATGATGCAAAAAAAAAAAAAAAAAAAAAAAAAAAAAAAAAAAAACACGTACACCTGTTGATTCGTTTGCTCAGGAACATTAACGATCACGATCGCATACCCGATGGGTATTGTAGACGTACAACATCTCCATACGTATGTATGTGCACACGCGTACATTTGCGCCTTCGATCACTTTCACTTTTCAATGTGCTTAATCTATTACGGTAATAAATAATTACATCTCTTCCCCCCGTCAAAGCTGCAAATGAGCGAGGGGGACAGGAGATTCCTCTCGCATACCTGAGTGTAAAAAGAAAAGAAAACATCATCGCACGAGGTATTTTATCCGAGGCGTCTGAACGGCCACGTGATAAATAAAAGTAAAAGAAAAAAAAACAAGGAGTCGGTCGTTTCCACCCGGTGTTCTCTCGTCTCCTCTGCCATATACGTATTATACACGCGTGTATAGGTATGTAGTTGTTGGCAGTAGTCGAACAGGTATAAATTGAGTATAGCATAGGCGGATATCGGCACAAACCGCGCGTGAACTCGATTTCGATCTCCGATGCGAAACAGGTATACATTTGTGCCTATGTATACGTGTGTGTGTGCGTATAACAACGCCATACTATTATACCATAAGGCCCGTGAATTCAGGTCTCCTCGTCTCTTTTTCCCCACACTCGTATTACACGTAATATATAGTACAGTTGTGAGTCGCAACTGGTGCATCCTATGTGTCATGTCGTATAACGTGTGCTGTGTCTGCTATTTCTTTATTTCTTTTTTTCTTTTTTTTTTTAAACAACAATTAAGTATAGCAGGTCGAGTAAGGGCCCATTTGTACAGTGGGTATGTTTGCTTCGCGTTTTTTCAGTGCTTCAAGGAAGGTACGTATATAAAGATTGGTACAGCAAACATACACGAGTAGGCAGTGCATTAATATGAGCCCTTATTTTTCGCTATTCGTGATTGAATGAAAAATACAATCTTTCGTGCAAATTGAAGAACGACATGGAGTGTATGTATGGTTTACTTTTTTTTTTTTTTTTTTTTTTTTTTGAAAGTACGTAAATGCGAATCGACGAGTGAGTCTCTAATTCACCGGCATTGCGAAAACAGTGGGTATACATATACGTATACATACATACAGAGCTCCCGAGGTGGAGTAGTTACCTCCCGGGCGATGGAGAAATGATGATTGCCGGAGAAATTCCAGGCTTCGGTGCCGCGCAACTGATGGAACGTTTTGCGGGTGAGGATTTTTTTTTTTTTTTTTTTTCCCCGCTCCTACGTGGCCTGCACTTTCGGAAGGATAAGATAGGAGGGAGGGAGAAATCGGGCCCGGAATCCGAAATGAGCCTTTGTTTTAAAAGCAATCGCATTTATCGTCGAAAATAGAGCGCCGGGGCAATTTGTAGACACAAAGCAGGGACACGCGATCCTTCGAGTCTAATCCGGCGATACAACGAAAAGGGGCGATGTACACACTCTCCATTCGTAATCGCGTAATGTGCAAGGACTTCTTCGGCGGGTGTGCGTAGCAAATAACCAGCCAGGCGGGCCCCTATTGTTCGCGATTTATTTAAATATGATGCAGATTAGATTTATAAAGGACCCCCTCCCAATTTAGCCACCTACAATGCTAATTTATTCGTTTTTATCGGCCGACAACGACTTTCTTTGTCCATTTCATCATTATCTTTTCCGAAAACACACCGAGGATGGATGATTTTTTTTTTTTTTTTTTTTTTATTTTTTTTTTTTTTTTGCCTTATTACATTTGTTTTCTCTTTCCTCCCCTGTGGACCCCTGACTCGCTTTTTCCACACCGAGCTCCCTTTTTAGCGTCTCTCTCATCATTTAATACTATACATCCATGCGCTACAGATGAAAACTCCTGGGGGCGATCCAGCCCAGGTCACGACGACTGCGACGACGGTGAAGGAGAAGAAGAAGATGGCGAAGCACGGCCGCGGGCTAATATTGAATTTTAAGAAAGTCGGCTCTACACCCCCGCCCCCAAACACTAGCAGTAGGAGGGATGGGAGGGTGGCCCCCACAGTATCAACCTATACCGTGCAACCGAGATAATAAAAATATGGACGTATAATTTGACGGCAAGGTCTAGAGGTCCAAGCGAGGGGTGAGGCTAAGGGTAGTTCATGAAATGAGCGCTGATAATGCCCCCTGTAGTTCCCCTCCTCTGCCCGGCAAGCGAGCGGAATTTCAAAGCTCGCCCAAGGTTTTATATTGGGCATTTTTCGGCTA